CTATGTCATGAACAAAAGTTCCCAGAAAAACTATCTTAAAACTGAACATTCTTCCCCAGGCATGGAGGCGCACACCTGTAGTCCCAGCACTTGGGAGGCAGGTGGATCTCTGAGTTCAAGGCCAGCCTGGTCTACATAGTGAGTTCAAGGCCATCTGGGGCTACAGGAAGACCCTGTTTCAAAAGACGAAAAAAAAAAAAAAAAGAAAAAAAGAAAAAGAAAAAAACCAACTGAATATTCTTCAAAGGCTGATCAACTGATTAGAACTTCTGTGACCGTGAAGAGTTTCAAAAGTTGCAGGTCCAGAGAGCCTGATTACCATTTATCTTGGGCTATCTTTAGCCCCCTAAAGAGCTCCTCCTTGCCCACTGTCTTTCCTGACTTAACATCCTGTGACTAACAGATAAAAACCTTTGGTATGTATTAGCCAACCATCAGCTTCCATAAACCTAGAAGGCTGAATGCCATCAGATAGCATCCAAGCCTACAGCTGAGATTTCCCTTTTGCTACTTAATATTTCCACTAATGTATTTGAAAAGTGTCTTGATTTATGGCTTTTCTTTGTTCTGTTACTTTATCAAACTGTTACATTGGAACATGGAATTTGGATAACCTGACTCTTGTGTTTCTGGACCAACCTGACTCATATTTGGCTCCATAATAAACTATCTCGTCCCCTCTGAGGTGAGTTATGCTTTTGTGTTGACAATGTGCAGTGCCTTTGTAACTCCTACCTCAAGGTCTGATCATGGTTTCTATGGTGAGGAGGCCCTTTCTCCTGGCAGAGCTTATTTCTGAAGGATAAAGGATAAACTTCATGCTTTTTTGTTGACAGTTAAGAATGTGTGTATGTGAATCTTCATCTTTCAATAAGTCAGTCTGACTGCCGCTCTCTGCTGGTTGAGATTTTTCCTGCCTTTTAATTCTTTAATTGGTGGAGAAAATGAATCCAGAAATATAACCGCAATAGAAATAACTGCTTCTTTACTCATCCACTGAAGGCATTTGTTTCTGTAAGCTGGGTACCATGAATACACATGGGTATATACATAGCTTCCAGATTTCGATTGCAATAAAATTCAATTGAAATTTATTTCATTGAAGACAAACAGGCTAATACCAGAGCAAGACACTACCAGATCTATTTTAAAAAGCCACATCCATAATCATGACATTGTTTTACTAAACTTATGAGGGATAAGTTAATTATCTCACACTTGGAAGTTTCCTCCTATCCCTCTAGGGTTGAATATTTCTTCTTGCTCATTCCAATCATGCCAGCTACAATCTGTATCACTTTTCCAATCTATATCTTCCTTCCTGTGATAAGCTGTTCTTTCCATTAAGAAAAAATCTACACTTTTGTTCCGCATTCAGCACCAATTTATTTCTTTTGTGTGTGTACAAGGTTAGATAGAATAAATTTCAATTTTCCATCATGTATGTCATTTTAGGGAAAGTTCCCCAAGATCCTGAGAATGTTTATTCTACAATGTTTGGATGGAATGCTCTATAGATGTCTACGACCATTTGACTTATGACATCATTTAAGTCAGATACTTGTTTATATTTCGTTGGATGACCTGTCTTTTGATGCAAGTGGGGTATTGAAATAATCTACTATTATTGTGTTGGGTTTAATCTGACTTCACATCTAATAGTATGTATTTAATTGGGTGTACCATCGTTCGTTGTGTATATGTTTAAATTGTAATATCCTCTTGACAGATGCTATGTCCAGTGCAGTGGGGTGGTAGAAAGTGCAGAAGAGGGATGGCCCAGTAACTAACACACAGGACACATAAGATACTTTAAGAAAGCAGGGGCCAGGAAAGCTCTCTCACAGGACAAAGGTCTGGAGTCTCTAACTCCCCAAGTTTGTATTAGTATGGATAAGGTAGTCCAAGCAGGGCTTCAGGAACATAGGATAGGCAGATCAAAGGATAATTCTCTACAGAGGCCAAGGAAACTACAACAAAATGTGGCTTGTGTACAGGGTATAGAACAGATGTTCACAGAATAGTGTGAATAAGGCATAGCTTCTTTATTCTAAATACAACGGACACTTCACTTCAGAAGTGCCTATCCGGCTGTGCTATCATAGGCATTCTTGGCTAGTGGTGGCTTTGCACATATGCCAAGTATGCTTTTGGCTGAGTTCAAATAGGGCAATATCTCTTTTCCTGAGTTTTGGGTTGGAGTTTCATTTGTCAGTGAAAAGAACAATGTCCTAGTTCTATTTGTTTGGAATAACTTTTTCCATCCTTTCATTCAAAGGTAGCCTGAGATACATAGCAAGTTTGAGGTCAGAGTGGGCTACATGAAACTCTCTCTCAAAATAAACACAAACGTCAAAATTATGTCATTTGCTGGAATACAGAGAATTATCATATTTAGCAAAATAAGACATACTCAGAAACTCAGGTATCATATGGAGATTGTCATGTTAAGAAACATAAACCAGAATCAGAAACACTAGTGAGCTGTATGTTTTCTCTCATGTGAAATCGTTCATGTGTGGAATCTAGCTTTAATATATTAGATGAAAGCAAAGAGGAAGGAGCTGGGCGTGGTGGCTCCTGGAAGAGAAAGGTAACCAGTACAAAGTCAGATTAATAAGAGAAGGCCAGCCTGGTCCACATAGTGAATTCCAAGCCAGTTGGAGCTACAGAGAGAGACCCTGTCTCAAAAAGAACCCCCCCCCAATTAATTTTTCATAGTGCACAAAATATTTTTGCATGTAACTTTTTTGCAAATTCTTTGCCTATTTTCTTACATAGAGTGAGTAAAAAATTCAAAAGGCTCACAGATCCTCGAGACAACCTCAAAGGGTAGAATAACTTCGACTACGATATAAAATTAGTAATCTCATGAAACAAATTTATTAGCATATTAAGTCTACAAAGAGAATATATGTGATATATACCTGGGTCTGGATTATTTAAAAGAATCTCAAATTCCACCAATTTTCCTTCAAATGGCAATTTATTTGTTGTGAGAGTGAAACTCTATTAGAACTTGCACATGATTCAGACAATCATTTCTGGGTATATACCCAAAAGAAATTTTAAAATGTTTTTTTGGTGTTTTTGAGACAGGGTCTCCCTGTAGTCCCAGCTGTCCTAGAACTCACTATGTAGACCAGGCTGGCCTTGAACTCAGAGATTGGCCTGCCTCTGCCTCCCAAGTGCTGGGATTGAAGGTGTGCGCCACCATGCCCAGCTTGTTATTTATTTTAAGTGTATGAGTATATTGCCTGTATGTAAGTGCACTTGTGTTGTGCAATGCTCTTGGAGGTCAGAAGGTGTCAGATCTCCTGGAACTGGAGTTACAACTGGTTACTGGTGTACATGTTGGACTGATGTACAACCCTTGCTTCATTTACATCTCACATTTGTTCAATGTCTGTTCACCACCTCATTTTTCCTCACCAAATTATCAACACCAGAACTGCAATAACTAGCTTTCTCATAAAAATATTGGCAGAGCAAAAATAATCCCTTAATTCTGCATGCTTAATTCTGAGTGTTCCTAATCTATCATGTGAAGGATGCTTGAAAACTACCATCTAATACATTTTTTAAATTATATTTTTAAAGAATTTTTTATTATTTTTTGTGTATGAGTGTATTGCTTACATGTAACTACACCTGTGTTGTGCAATGCCCAAAGCAGTCAGGAGAGGGCATCAGGTCCTTTGGAACTGGAGTTAGGATAGTTGTTAGCTGCCATGTGAGGGCTAGGAATTGAACCCAGGTCCTCTGCAAGAGTAGCCAGTGCTCTTAACCACTGAGCCATCTCTCCAGTCCAAGATTTTATTTTTTATACTTCAATGATGTGTATGTGTGAGGGTGGGTATATGCATTTAAGTGCAGTGCTCATGACAGTGAGAAGAGGGCATCAGATCCTCTGGAATTGGAGTTACAGGTGGTTGTGTCAAGTAAGTGGGTGCTAAGAACTGAACTCTGGTCATCTGAAAGAGAAGTACATGTTCTTAACTGCTGAGTCATCTCTCTAGCCCACATAATGCACGTTTTCTAAGAAACAGAAGTTTAACAGTAGTGTGATTTCTGTTCCTTAATAGTCTTAGAACAGGAAAAATTACATAAATAATTTCTGCCATTATAGTCAGGTGGGAGGATAGAGATTATAAGCAGGGGCTGGAGAGATGGCTCAGCGGTTAAGAATACTGTTCTTGCAGAAGACCCCGGTTCGAATCCCAGCACCCACATGGCAGCTAACAACTGTCTGTAACTCCAGTTCCAGGGGATCCAACACCATCTTCTGTCCTCCGCGGGCATTACACAACACGGGTGCACTTACCTACATGCAGGCAACACATGCATACTCATAAAATAAAAATAATAAAATATTAAAAAAAGAGATCTACATGAATGGGTTTATGTATTTCCACTGATATGAAAAAATGGACTAGACAGTCTGATTTATGATACATATTGTTTAGAGATTATATTTTATTTACATGTAGGTTATCAGTATGAGTGAATTACCAGTCCATGGACTTAATGCATAGTTTCTTTGTATTCTTGCTGATATTGCTCTTTCAGACAGTGTCTTGGTGGTCTTCAATGGTGGGCTCAGGCTATTCCCCTGTCTCAGTATTCTATGCAGCAGGGATCACAGGCAAGCAAAATCATGGCCAAGTTACTCACCAAGAATTTTTTTTTAATTAATTTTTATTTTATATATATGAGTGTATTGCCTGCATGTATGTACATGCACCCGTGTCATGCAGTGCCAGTGGAAGACAGAAAGAGGGTGTTGGATCCCCTGGAACTGGAGTTATGAACGGCTGTTAGCTTTCATGTGGGTGCTGGGATTTGAACCTTGATCTTTGGCAAGAACAGCCAGTGCTCTTAACTTCCAAGTCATGTCTTCAGCTCCTCACAAGCACACTTTCAAACGTTAAAAAGTTAAGTCAAAAAGTCTCATTACAAATGGACTAATGATAAAAATAATACTCATAACTGTTACTGTATATCTTTCAGGTTGTTTATTTTCAGGAATACTCAACACAAATTAATTTGCTTCAAGATCTTCACATTTCTTACTTTCACTGGATTTTACTTCATGAGAAAATCCCATAAATGTTATCTTACTTAACATACAACTTACATTATTTACAACTAGAATTTCATTTAGTTGGAAATAGTTCTTAAACCTCCCAAACTGTGCTCAAACCCACTATATAGTGTAGGCTGCATTCAATATTATAAATGTATAGTCTCTAACTCCTTGATGCAAGAATGAAAGGCATACACTAGCATGCTTGCTGTGACAGGTCTTCATCCTTTAGACACTTACATGTGTGGGCCAAAATTACACCTCTGCTGGTCTTCTCTCTTCTTTCATCTCTTGCAATAAAATTTGACTTTGGATAGTCCTACATGATACACGCTGGCATAAGTTCTATCCACTGAGTTTCTTTTCACTGTGAGTTCTTTCATGTTTGTGTAGGTATGTCGAACAGGTAAATGCTTTCCCACATTGCTTACAGATATAAGGTTTTTCCCCAGTATGATTTTTTTCATGTATGTGAAGGGATTTGGAAAAAGTGAATGTTTTCCCACATTGTACACACATATATGGTTTCTCTCCAGTGTGAGTTCGTTCATGACTGTAACAATCATCACGTTGGATGAAGGTTTTCCCACACTGCTTACATGCATAAGGTTTCTCTCCAGTGTGAATTCGTTCATGTCGTCGCAAAGAAGTACCCTGGGTAAAGGATTTTCCACATTGCTTACATACATAGGGTTTCTCTGCAGTGTGAGTTCTTTCATGTATGTGAAGGGATCTGGAAAAAGTGAATGCTTTCCCACACTGCACACACATATATGGTTTCTCTCCTGTGTGAATTCTTTCATGTTTGTGACATGCACTGGCATGAGTGAAGGTTTTTCCACAATGTTTACATGCATAAGGTTTCTCTCCAGTGTGAATTCTTTCATGTTTGTGAAGGTATGTGGAACATGTAAATGCTTTCCCACACTGTTTACAAACATATAGTTTCTCCCCAGTGTGAATTCTTTCATGATTGTAACAGGCACTGGAATAAGTAAAGGCTTTTCCACAATGTTTACATACGTAAGGTCTCTCTCCACTGTGAATTCTTCCATGAATGAGAAGTTGACAAGCACGAAGAAATGCTTTCCCACATTGCTCACAAATATAAGGTTTCACGCCAGTGTGAGTTCTTTCATGATTGTAACAGGTTCTGGGATCAATGAATGCTTTTCCACAATACTTACATACATAAGGTTTCTCTCCAGTGTGAATTCTTTCATGTTTGTGAAGCTGTGAGGAACGCCTGAATGATTTTCCACATTGCTTACATATGTAACATTTCTCTCGAGTGTGACTTCGTTCATGCCAGAGGAGGTTATAGGAATTAATGCATGCTTTTCCACATTGTTTGCATACATAAGATTTCTCTTCACTGTAAGTTTTCTCATAATCATGATCAGAAGTGAGACTCCTACAGGCTTCATTAGATTGTTTATTTTCACAGGGTTTCTGTTTAGTAGGAGGCCTTTCATGCATCTGAAAGAAGTCAGAATAAGTGAAATCGTTCCAACATGTCTTATGTTCGAAAGTCTTCTCCATACATTCCTGGTACTGATATGGTTTCTGTCCACTTCGACCACTGAAGTGCACATCTGCAGGTAAATGGGCAGTGATGTCTCTTTCATATTCACTGCTTTCATACACTGTTACTGCAGGAGGCATTTGTTCATTCACAGTATGTTCTGGAATTTGGTGCTGGATTTTCCCATAGTGACTACCATGATCATATTCACAGAGTCTCTCAACCACCAAAGTTCTGCAAAAAAAAGAAAAAAAAGAGAAAAGCAATACCAGTTCTAGCCAAGAGAAGTATTTCAGGCTGTGTGCTGTGGCTGATGCTTGCTGTTGTGTATCTTGGGGCTGTGGCAGGAGGAAAGCACACTTGAGACCGACCTGGACCACACAGAAAGACTCTTTCCCAAAGGGAAAAAAAAAAATAAGAGTAATGGCTTTATTTCCATAAGAATTTATGAACTTCAGGGAAGCAAGATAGCTCAGTTGGTGAAGGCCCCTGATGCCAAGTCTGATGACCAGAGTTTAATCCCTGGGACCCGCATGATGGAAGAAGAGAACCCACTCTTGAGGGTTGGTCTCTGACTTCCACATACTCCCAACTGCATGCACAATAAATCTATGTTAAAAAGAAAAAAAAAAAAAAGAACATAAAAGGGCTAGTCAGAGCTTCTGAGGATGGCATACAATCATATAAGATCTATAGTACAGGCCGGGCATGGTGATGCATGCCTTTAATCCCAGAACTTGGGAAGCAGAGGCAAGTAAATCTCTGTGAGTTTGAGGCCAGCCTGGTCTACATAGTGAGTTCCAGGACAGCTGGGGCTACAGGGAGACCCTATCTCAAAAAAATACCCCAAAAGATCTGTAGTACGTTTTTTTTTTTTTTTTTTTTTTTTTTTTTAAAGAAAAGGTCTCATTATACAACATTGGTCAGCCTGGAATTCTCTATATAGACCAAGTATGGCCTTGAACTCACAAAGGTGTGTGCTACCATGCTCGGCTGTAGTACTACTTCTGCTGGTCTTTTCAAAAATATTTTCTATTAGTCGGGCATGGTGGCGCACATCTTTAATCCCAGCACTCGGGAGGCACAGGCAGGTGGATCTCTGTGAGTTCAAGGCCAGCCTGGTCTACATGGTGAGTTCCAGGACAGGTGGGGCTACAGAGAGACCCTGTCTCAAAAAAACCAAAAAAAAAAAAAAAAAGTCTATGCTACAGTTAACAAAGTTGAATATTCCTAATGCAAAATGGCTTGCATCAAGCTCTATAGAATTGAAAAAGCTTAATTACCATTCAAACAATTTAATGAAGATGGGTCTCATTCTAAACTCAAAATTAACCTTTACTGCACACACACACCTTATAAATATAACCTGATAAAAATATACTTAAAGATTCTGTTAATGGAGAGAAGTTGTATAATGAATCACTGTATATGTCTTACATAGCTTAATGCTGCACCACAAGCTGGGATCTTTCAATTCTGAATGCATAAGCTCAATGTAGTTTTATGGAAAATTTGATATTAAATCAACTTATGTTTAGATGTGTATGGATCATCTGCTTGGCTCTCAGATTTCCTATCACTCCCAAATACTTGATATAAATTCACTTTGAGTGTAAATTACCTCAGATTTCCTTTGAGATTCTGGTAATCCTCTTCAATATTGTCTTCTTCTGTTTTCCCTAAAAATAAACACAAAGAAAGTCTGAGTTATTCAAAATTACACAAAACTTACTATATTTTTCTGTGGCATAATGTGAACAGGCATGTGACATTCAAAATCTTTCCTTTCAATATGTCAAACCATATACCTATACAGATGAACAAGAAACAGTTGTTCTCTTGTTGAACATGAAAAGGAGTCACAGTGCATTTGTTACCTATAGCAATCAGGTTCATAAAGGTTTCCTTCATCACATCTCTGTAGAGCTTCTTTTGACTAGAATCCAACATGGTCCACTCTCCTAAGGTGAAGTTCACAGCCACATCCTCAAAGGTCACTGGCTCCTAAAATAATCCACATACATTTACAGGAAGACGGTGAAAAAACACTGGAGATACATAGTCACTTGATTAGTTCACATCATACTTTGTCCTTCAAATACTCACTGTATATCCTGACAGGCACACATTTCTACTGTTCACCCTTATTCTCAGCCCATCACACAATTCTGAGGCTACTTTGGAATTGTATGATAAAGGGACACAGTCCCAATTATTCTTTGTACACTGGAGTCTTTGGCACCTTAAACAACAAATTCCTACAACCTGGAATGCACAAGAGTAAACACCAGCTCTGCCGGCATTGTACAGTTATCAGAAAGGTCTGTCAGCAGATGCCATCCATTTCTTCTGCTCAAACTGACAAAACCAGTCTGATCATAAGGGCTCACTATGCAACAATTTAAGCAGACAGCACAGTTTCTGGTATGTTGCTTAACTATTACTCCAAAGAATTTTGCATATTTCTGTCATACTCAAAGTTATTATACCTGTCAACATTTCAAATGAAATCTGGATGAAGAAGCCTCACTGATCTGACAGATTGTATGGATACCCTGTCAAAACTTGTTATTAGGTCCCTGAGCACATATTCTATAATTCCTCTAACAGACATCATTAGGCTGTCTCTAGGTTCTTATAGAACAATATTAATCAGAAACAAGTGGTTTCTTATAGACTAGCCTAAGAAATACTAAATACTAAATAAGTCTCAAGGATGATTCTCTATGCTAACATGCACATTACAATTTGGTTGAAGAATGTCAACCAAACAAGGGCATATATTCTTAGAAAAAGCTGGTTTATGTCACTAAAAATATTTTCTCATGGATGCATCATATTCTGTAATCTCACAATACTCTTAGATGATTAACAAACATTACTTTCTAAATCTGTATGGGAATAAATGCTTGATGACATGTAAAATATTAGGAATGAGAAAATGACATGTAGATCTAGTTATGGACACACATACCTATAAAACCAGGAGTTACAATGCTAAGGAAGGAAGACCCTGAGTTCAAGTCCTGCCTGACTGGGAAAGCAAAAACCAAAAAATAACAATAAAAAAAGAAAATTAAAGACAGAGGTGAACAGATCAGAAGACAGAAGAGTCGGTCACAGTGAGATGAGATATAAGCAGAAAATTCATGATAGAGAAGGCCTTGATCAACAATGAATCTCTACTGTATAAAGTAGTGACACACTGCTATTTCCTTGGAAGCATGCACTGCATTTCACTCTATTCCATGAACAACAAAGTTCACTTAAAAATGGGAAGACACCTGTGCCATCTGTGATAATTTGTAAGTAATCACAAAACTTTGAGGCTGACTTATGAGTACAGTGAAATGAAATCCAGCCTGACTATACATATAGCATCAGACCACCCTGACCTCACATTAGGACTTCATATCAACTTACCAATTCAGGTTGACTAAATAGATTAAAAAATTAGATCCAGGGGCTGGAGAGATGGCTTAACTGATAAGAGCCCTGACTGCTCTTGCAGAGGATCTGGGTTCAATTCCCAGCACCAACATAGTGACTAATATCCATTCATAACTCTAATTCCAGGGGATCTGACAGCCTCTTCTGGCCTCTGTGGCCATTGGACACATGGGTGTAATTACATACATGCAGGCAACACACACACAACAACAACAAAAATTTAAAAAGCCTGATAGAGAAACTCACCACTTTAGAAGCTAATATTCTCAAAAAGACCAGAAAAAAAAGTAATTTTTAAAAATTCATTTTTTTTGCAATTAAGTTAGAATATTCTAACTGAAAAACAATTGCTGTGAAACGATTTACATTCTCATAGAATTATAAACATTTCTCAAGGAATACTTTACTTTACAGCACAACTTT